AGCCTCTGGCACCACAGGAAGTGCCTCAAATTTGGCTGTGAAAAGCTGCTACGCGCTACACCGTATATGCTACTGCTACGGCCTGAAGCACATGTGGTGCCTGACTCCACATCTCAGCTCAGCGCCGTTGGGGTTTTGTGTGTGTGTGTGTGTGTGTGTGGGGGGGGGGGTACGTCTGCCTCCCATATCTCTGGCACCTTCCTGTCAAAAGATATTCACCAAAAACGTCAGTTCAGTTAAAAACCCCTATCCTCACCTGGAACACTGAAATGCTGCAGGATTATAGGCTCATTGCAGCTTTTAGAAAACAATTTAATTTACAGGATTACCTGGTGAAAGCTAAATTAAAGCCGCCCTCTAAAATTATTTCTAAAAGCCAGGGTTTTTTTAAAACTGGTTACATAATTGGCACAATAATAATGTGTTTAAAACTTTGTATTTTGGAAGACCTAAAATCAAAAATTGTTTTTTCTCATCCTGTGTAAAAAATGTCATTTACAATATGTGGGTGAGACTGGCAACACAATATCAGTCAGATTTACACAGACACAATATACTCAAAAAGAAAGAAACCCAGGCTCCACTAGTCCAGCACTTCCTGGAGCATTGATGGAACTCTCTGAGGGCCACTGTGATACGGTGTTCAATTCAATTCAATTCAGTTTTATTTGTATAGTGCCAATTCATAACAGAAGTTATCTCAGGACACTTTTCAAATAGAGCAGGTCTAGACCGAACTCTTTACAACATTTTTTACAGAGACCCAACAGTACCACCATGAGCAAGACCTTGGAGACAAGGGCAAGGAAAAACTGCCTGTTAAAAGGCAGAAACCTAGGACAGATCCTTCGGCTCTAGGTGGGTGGTCGTCTGTCTCGACCAGTTGGGGTGCGAGAGACAGAGAGAGAGAGAGACAGACAGACAGACAGACAGGTGCACAGCAACAACAGTATTGGCAATGGCAATCTAGCAGGACCATGGCAGGAGGCTCCACCAGGATCGATAAGAACCTGCGAGACGAGAAAGCACAAGAACTCCAGGGAAGAAGTGAAGTTAGTAACATGCATTAATGGAACATGAATGAGTGCAGAAAGAGAGAGGAAGGGAGGAGCTCAGTGCACCATGGGAAATCCCCCGATAGTCTAGGCCTATAGCAGCATAACTAAGGGATGGTTCAGGACTCACCTGATCCAGCCCTAACTATAAGCTTTATCAAAGAGGAATGTCTTAAGCCTACTCTTGAATGTGGTGAGGGTGTCTGCCTCCCGAACCACAACTGGAAGCTGGTTCCACAGGAGAGGAGCTTGGTAACTGAAGGCTCTGGCTCCTGTTCTACTTTTAGAGACTATAGGAACCACAAATAGCCCAGCATTCAGAGAATGTAGTGTTCTAGAGGGGTAATAGGGTACTATGAGCTCTTTATGATATGAAGGGGCCTGACCATGAAGAGCTTTATAGGTGAGGAGGAGGATTTTAAATTCTATTCTAAATTTTACAGGGAGCCAGTGCAGAGAAGCTAGTACAGGAGAGATGTGATCTCTTTTTCTAGTTCCTGTCTGTACTCGTGCTGCAGTGTTCTGAATTAATTGGAGCGTTTTAATGGACTTATTGGGGCAACCTGATAATAAAGAGTTGCAGTAATCCAGCCTTGAAGTAACAAATGCATGGATTAGTTTTTCTGCATCTGTCTGTGATAGTATGTGTCTAACTTTTGTAATATTACGTAAATGAAAGAAGGCAGTCTTCATGTGGCAGTTAAATGACAAATTCTGATCAAAGATAACTCCAAGATTCCTGACAGTGGTGCTAGAGGCCAAGGTAATGCCATCTAGAGTAACTATATCTTTAGACAGTGAGTCTCTAAGGTTTTTGGGGCCAAGAACAAGAATTTCGTTTAGTTTAACATTGGAAAATTGCAGCTCATCCAGGATTTTATGTCCTTAAGACATGTTTGTAATTTAGATAATTGATTAATTTCATTGGGCTTGATTGATAGATATAACTGCGTATCATCTGCATAACAGTGAAAGTTAATGGAGTGATTCCTAGTAATGTTGCCTAAAGGGAGCATATATAGAGTAAATTGTATTGGTCCAAGTACAGAACCCTGTGGAACTCCATGACTAACTGTAGTATTTATTGAAGATTCATCATTAACATGTACAAACTGCGAACGATCTGATAAATATGACTTAAACCAGCTTAGTGCGGTTCCTTTAATGCCAATTTGATGCTCAAGTCTCTGTAAAAGAATATCATGGTCAATGGTGTCAAATGCAGCACTAAGATCTAATAATACAAGTACAGAGACAAGTCCATTGTCAGAAGCAGTCAGAAGGTCATTATTATATTCGATGAAGAAATGATTGAAGTTAACGGATGAAGATCTATAGCAGAAAAACAGTCTAAATATGTATCTAAGTTTACATTAGCAAAAGTCCCTGAACTTGGAGAGCCACTGATAACTGCTGATGGCAGTTGGTGATTAATTTTCTCTCTAATAGTAATAATGTTGTTGTGGAAGAGGCTCATAAAGTCGTTGCTACTTAAGTTTATGGGGATATGTGGCTCAATAGAGCTGTGGCTATCTGTCAGCCTGGCTACAGTGCTGAAGAGGAACCTAGGGTTATTCTTATTTTCTTCTATTAGTGCTGAGTAATAGGCTCCTCTGGCATTATGGAGGGCCTTTCTATAAGTTTTAAGATTATCTTGCCAAATTGAGCGATATTCTGATAATTTGGAAGAGCACCATTTCCTTTCAGATTTCCTAGCTATTTGCTTTAACTGGTGAGTTTGGTGGTTATACCACGGTGCTAATCTCCTATGTTTTAATAATTTCCTTTTTATCGGAGCGATAGAGTCTAATGTTGATCGTAGTGAGCCTGTAGCACTATCGACAAGATTATCAATTTCAGAGGGACTAAAGTCGTTATAGGACTATGTGGGAAGACTATTAAATGTTCAATATCAATGCCGTATGATAGAACGAGGTCAAGAGTGTGATTAAAACAATGAGTTGGTTTATTTACACTCTGACAGAAGCCAGTTGAGTCTATTAATGATATAAATGTGTTACTAAGGCTGTCGTTAACATCCACATGAATATTAAAATCACCTACAATAATTACTTTATCTGATTTAAGGACTAAACTTGATAAAAACTCAGAGAATTCAGATATAAAATCAGAGTATGGTCCAGGAGCGCGGTACACTATAACAAATAGAACTGGCTGCAGTGTTTTCCAGTTTGGGTGAAAAAGACTAAGAACAAGGCTTTCAAATGAATTAGAATTTAGTTTAGGTTTAGGGTCCATTAAAACGCTTGAATCATATATGGCTGCTACTCCACCTCCTCGGCTGGTGCCTCGAGGAATGTGAGTATTAATATGATAATATTAATATCTAATTTTTATTAGATTTTTATGTTGAACTCCTCTTGTTTTTATTTCTTTAAATAATTTAGGTGGTTGGGGGACAGACACAGTCTCTATGGGGTTTTGGGTGGGTGACTGTTCTAAAGAAAGCACAGAGAAGTGTTTAAGACAGCAGCTCTGCTTCCTGGTCCCAACTCTGGACTGTCAGGTTTTAGAAATAAACTTCGCCATATTTCTAGATAAGAGAGCCGCTCCATCCAAAGTGGGATGGATGCCGTCTCTCCTAGTCAGACCAGGTTTTCCCCAAAAAGGCTTCCAGTTATCAATGAAGCCCACATCGTCTTCTGGACACCACCTCGACAGCCAGCGGTGGAATGACGACATGCGGCTATACATGTCATCATTGATCACATTGGGCAGGGGTCCAGAGAAAACTACGGAGTCCAACATTGTTTTGGCATAGTTACACACTGACTCCACATTAATTTTGGTGACCTCTGATTGGCGTAAACGGGTGTCAAGACGTGGATAACAATCTTACCATATTTAAGATTACCTTTAGCCAGCAGTTTTAAATAGGATTCGATGTCGCCCGCTCTGGCCCCAGGGATACATTTAACTATGGCCGCTGGCTTCACTAACTTCACATTTCTGACTATGGAGCTGCCAATAATCAGTTAGTTCCTCAGCGGGTGTGTCGCTGAGTGAAGAAAATGTATTAGAAACATGAATGGGTTGGTGGTGAACTGTGGGCTTTGGTGTTTTAGTCTTCCTTCGCTCAGTCACCCAGCCTCCCTGTCTTCCCGGCTGCTCGGGAACTACCGGGTGAACTACCGGGGGAACTACCGGAGGACGGCTAGCAGAAGCTACCTTCGGTCGGACCGCACCGGCTACTGGGGGCTGGCTAAATATAGCGGCTAAAGATATCTCTGTGGTGCGGTACCATTCCTCTAACTCACTAAGCCTCGCCTCCAGCGCATTAAATAAACTACACTTAATACACGTACCATTATCTTTAAAGGAGGCAGAGGAATAACTGAACATCTGACACACTGAGCAGGACAGAAGAGAGGGAGAGGGAGAAGCCATAGCTAACTGCTAATGCTAATGAAACTAGAGTGTGAAAAACTTTGAAAATAGCGCAAAGTCGCTAAAAGAAGGAGTAACTCCGAGTGTTTAGGTAGAACTAATCTACGTTTAAATGTTAAGCGGGAAAATAACCGCTGTAACGAGTAAAACAAATTTATATTTAGCGTTCACTGACAGAGCTACAGCACCAAACAGTGTACACAGAGCAGGAAGTGAACCGGAAATGAGTCAGTACGCTTACCGTAGCACGTCACCAGTTTCCTATCACTGAGTAAACTGATGTGTGACCCCATATGGAGCACAGCCCAGAGAAGGAGAGCTGAAAGGATCTGGATCTTTAAATTGGACACATTACATCCAAGGGGACTTAATGAGAGGTAGGGGTGTCACAGTTGGGAGCAATGATGGACTGTGCGTGCAATTCCTCCGCCGGTTCCCGGCTTTGGAATCAAAGATCTTGATGTCCTAACCGCAGCAAACCTGTTCCAATCAACTCAGAATGTCCTAAAACGCATTCTAGGACAGAGAACCATGAAGTCAGTATTCCAAAATCCTTTATTTAAGGAGCCTTACAATAAGACAGAGAAACAAGCAGGAAGTTATGTGGGAATGGAGAGGTGTGGAAGACATGCAGTGGCCCATGCCTTTCCTTAGGCTCCCCAGTTTAACTACAGAGTCAAGGGACCAGGTAGGGGGAGTCGTCAAGAAAAATTAACTTATCCTAATCCCTAACCCCCCTAATCCCCCTAACCCTGAGTTTATTTTTAGTAATAAAAAAAAAAAATTTTAAGGAGTGCAATGAACCCAAGATAGATTAAGAACAATGTAACTAAAACTAAGACTACACATTTAAGAAAAGGGAATTGTAACTCAAATTAAGAGTACAAATCTCACTCCACCCAAACAAACTGATGAATCTCTCATTTATAATTTCCTCAGTAGCCTCTGTTTAAACCAGCCTGCCTTTCTGAAAACTGAAGTAGAGCTTCATGTCATAAGCCTGTATTTTAAATGTTTGTCTGCTTTAATCAAATAATAGAAATAAGTGAAGATGACTCACACTGGAAGAACATTGAGATGAAATAATAAATTTGTGTAAATATGGTGATTAATTAGGGTTAAAGACACTAATGAATTCATTATTGATTTTAAATAACAGGAGATACTGTCTTAATAAAGGAGGATTTTTGGTTACTTTTCATGTATCTGGGACTGGGGGAGGGGGAGGAGGTGCTCCCTATGAGGTTGTGGGAGGACAATGGGGTGTTTGTTGTCTCCTCGGTCATGCCAGCAGACGTCCAGCAGGGGGTAGACTTTCCCTTGGACCTCCAACCTGAAACTGTAGATGAAGACCAGCTCATCAGGACTGTCAGTGTTATAGAAGGTCAGACCTCTGCCCTCATAGTCCAGGAAGAGTCCCACCCGTTGGGGGGAACACAAAACGGGCAGGACCACCCTGGGTGAGTCGAAGGCTTCATAAACTCCGTCCTTCAGTCCAATCAACCACACTCCACTCTCTGGATTCTTTACAAGCTTGGCCTTTCGATTTGTCGTTCCTTTGATCAACCCCAGACGCCATTTAGGTTTGTTACCCACCTCCACCTGGACAGTGAGAACACCTGTATTTATCTCCTGTTAATACACTGTGATTGATCTACCTTACAGGGAGAGCAGAATTTACCTCCCAGTAATGTTTGCCAGAGGAAAAGCCTCGGTTGGCCAGGACGCAGTAGCTGTAACTGAACCTCTCTGGATTATCAGGAAGCCTCAGCAGCAGGGCTCTACAGGCCACCACTGTGTGCCCATGATGGAGTTCCAACATTGGGTGAGCAGTTTGAGGATCCAGCTTCAACGGCTCTGGAGCTGGAGCAAGAAAGGAATATATAATCAGAGAGACGGACAGAAAAACAAACAACAACAATTCTCCCAATCCTGGACTATGGAAACTTAATCTACAGGTTTGCCTCCAAAACAGAACATAATTTACCATACTGCCATTCATTCAAGTTTCCCTTTCAATACTTATCACTATACACTGCCTGTACTCTCTAGTCAACTGGCAATCACTGCACACCAGGTGTCAGTTCTACTGGTATCAGTTAAATTATAAAACTAGCATTGATAAAACGTCCATATCTCCGTTCGATACTCAACAAAGCAACTCCTGCTGCTAATATTTGTGTTATCTGTTGTTTTTGGATTCTTACTGTTTGTGTTTTCTTACTGTTTTTTCTCTTGTACATAGTGTTCTTATTTATTATTTTCCTATTCTTACTGTTTTTATACTGTTTTTTCTCTATCTGCTTTGCTGCTGTAACATTGGAATTTGCCCATTATGGGACTAATAAAGGAATATCTTATCTTATCTAATCTTACTCAACATTTCCAACAGTATCCAGTATTAAAATTCTACCAGATTAATTACTTTGGACACTTCTAAAGTCTGTACCGCCTTCGGCTGTCAGTCTTTTTAGTCTGCTGCTTCCATTGACTGTAACCAGTGACTGGAACCAGTCAATGGAACCACTGACAGGAACCACTGACAGGAACCACTGACAGGAACCAGTGACAGGGAGCAGTGACAGTAAGCAGTGACTGGAACCAGAGACTGGAACCAGTCAATGGAACCAGTTGCAAAAGTAACTAAAGCTGCACATTGTTATTTCATTATCCTCCTTCAATAACTCGGTACATGCGTTTCTGAACATTGTACCTGCTTTTAAATCTGCTTCTCTGGAACACTTTACACTCTGTATATATTGTGCTGATTATTCTCTGTTGAACTGTGTTGTTTTTTTGCAATAGCTGTATGTATGTTGTATCGACTGCCTCCTGTTGCTCCCTCTTGGCCAAGTTGTCATTGCAAATAAGAATTGGTTCTCAGAACATAAATAAAAATAACAGGTACAGATCATGGTACAGATGATGATACATGTAAAGGTACAGATAACAGTACACGTAAAGGTTTATGTGTACCTGGCAGGACTTTTCGGTGTAATCTTTTCCAAACAGTAAGTTTAATGTCGTTGTGGTTGAAACCTGGTTTAAAGTTGAGAGAGCTGAAGATTCTCTCCTGTTTCTGCTGGAGCTCCTGGATCTCCCTAAACCTGAGGAAGGGGAGAGGAGGAGAAAAAGAAGAGAGATGAAGGGGAGGAGAATGAGGAAGTGAAAATCTTTCTCTTAAAGATTAAAAGAGTGAATTGACAACATGTTGAGATGTTTATTACCTCGGAGCAATTGATCCATACTTCTGTAAATAGAAAAATAACTTATTATTATTATTATTATTATTATTATTATTATTTGATCAATAATCATTCAACACTACTGATCACAGAGACATAATTGATCAGTCAATTTTGTTGGTAGACTGGACTGATCATTGACAGTACCATGATGAAGCCCAGGTGTCCCTCATTGCTCAGGTCCTGCAGGGTGTTCTGGGCCTCCTGCAGCCGGTTTAGGTTCAGGTTTAACCTGTCTGTTTGGTTCTGGAGGGACGAGATGAGGTCAGCGGCCGACGTCTCTACCTGCTGCATGAACCCTGCCTCCTCCACCTCCAGGCAGCGCCGCAGTTCACCAAACTCCTTCCTCACCACCCACTTCAGGACGTCAGACTCGTTCTGATCAGACAGATAGCAGCAGTAGATCATTAACTCCTATTGGCTGACAGCTCTGAACTGAGATCATTCTCAGAGAATCTATCCATAAGACACTGTGACTGCTCGATAAGGTACACCTGAGCACACCTGCGTTACTCACAAGAACAATACCAAAAACAGCCTGTAGGGACTGGTTATTTGTATTTAATATCAGTTGGGATCCAAGGATACCCCTAAATATGAACTTGTTCATTTGAAGTGTTTAACTGAAACACGAAGGGACATGTTGGAATTTGACCATGTGCTCAGAAATTCTTGAGGCCTGTATGTAAAAGTAAAGGCCTGATTGTAGTAGTCTTTTAGACAAAGGAAACACGGCCGCCAGATAACAGATCAGGTCCCGGAATGCGGCCAGGGTGTGTCTTAAAGGCAATAAAATGGCCAAACACTGGCCGTTCATTGGTCAAGATTCCCTCTGACCCCAGACCTGTCATCACGGCTATTTAAGCCAGAGAGATGATTCAATTCAATTCAATTTTATTTGTATAGCGCCAATTCTGATTCTGATTCTGATTAGGAGAGACGGCATCAATCCCACTTTGGATGGAGCGGCTCTCTTATCTAGAAATATGGCGAAGTTTATCTCTAAAACCTGACAGTCCAGAGTTAGGACCAGGAAGCAGAGCTGCTGTCTTACACACTTCTCTGCGCTTTCTTTAGAACAGTCACCCACCCAAAACCCCATAGAGACTGTGTCTGTCCCCCGACCACCTAAACTATTTAAAGAAATAAAAACAGGAGGAGTTCAACATAAAAATCTAATAAAAATTAAAACCAACTCCTCAGTATCACAAAATAAGAGAATGAAATGTGGGCTGTTAAATATCAAGTCTCTGTCCTCTAAAGCTGTTTTAGTGAATGAATTAATATCAGATTATGATATTGATTTACTTTGTCTTACTGAGACCTGGTTGTCCCACGAGGAGTATGTTAGCCTAAATGAATCCACCCCCCCCAGTCATATTAATACTCACATTCCTCGAGGCACTGGCTGAGGAGGTGGAGTGGCAGCCATATATGATTCGAGCGTTTTAATGGACCCTAAACCTAAACTAAATTATAATTCATTTGAAAGCCTTGTTCTTAGTCTTTCTCACCCAAACTGGAAAACATTGCAGCCAGTTCTATTTGTTATAGTGTACCGCGCTCCTGGACCGTACTCTGATTTTATATCTGAATTCTCAGAGTTTCTATCAAGTTTAGTCCTTAAATCAGATAAAGTAATTATTGTAGGTGATTTTAATATTCATGTGGATGTTGACAATGACAGCCTTAGTAATGCATTTATATCATTAATAGACTCAATTGGCTTCTGTCAGAGTGTAAATAAACCAACTCATTGTTTTAATCACACTCTTGACCTTGTTCTATCATATGGCATTGATATTGAACATTTAATAGTCTTCCCACATAATCCTTTCCTATCTGACCATTATTTAATAACTTTTGAATTCATGTTATTAGATTATAAGCCATTAGGCAAAACTTCCTACAGCAGATGTCTATCTGACAGTGCTGTAGCTAAATTTAAGGAGGAGATTCCTTCAGTGTTTAATTCAATGCCATGTCTGAATTTAACAGAATCCTATAACGACTTTAGTCCCTCTGAAATTGATAATCTTGTCGATAGTGCTACAGGCTCACTACGATCAACATTAGACTCTATCGCTCCGATAAAAAGGAAATTATTAAAACATAGGAGACTAGCACCTTGGTATAACCACCAAACCCGCCAGTTAAAACAAATAGCTAGGAAATCTGAAAGGAAATGGCGCTCTTCCAAATTATCAGAATATCGCTCAAATTCGCAAGATAATCTTAAAACTTATAGAAAGGCCCTCTGTAATGCCAGAGGAGCCTATTACTCAGCACTAATAGAAGAAAATAAGAATAACCCTAGGTTCCTCTTCAGCACTGTAGCCAGGCTGTCAGAGAGTCACAGCTCTATTGAGCCACATATCCCCATAAACTTAAGTAGCAATGACTTCATGAGCTTCTTCTATAATAAAATTATTACTATTACAGAAAAAATTAATCACCAACTGCCATCAACAGTTATCAGTGGCTCTCCAAGTTCAGGGACTTCTGTCAATGTAAACTTAGATGTATATTTAGACTGTTTTTCTGCTATCGATCTTCATCAGTTAACTTCAATCATTTCTTCATCGAAGCCATCAACCCTCTATTAGACCCGATCCCAACTAGGCTGCTTAAAGAAGTTGTTCCCTTAATTGGCACTTCTTTACTGGATATGATTAATCTTTCTTTATTATCAGGATATGTACCACAGTCCTTTAAAGTAGCTGTAATTAAACCTCTTCTTAAAAAGTCCACTCTTAACTCAGGGGTTTTAGCCAACTATAGACCGATTTCTAACCTCCCCTTCCTCTCTAAGATTCTGGAGAAAGTAGTCGCCAAAGAGTTGTGTGACTTTCTACATAACAATAGTTTATTTGAGGATTTTCAGTCAGGATTTAGAGTTCATCATAGCACAGAGACAGCTCTGGTTAAAGTTAATAATGACCTTCTGACTGCTTCTGACAATGGACTTGTCTCTGTACTTGTATTATTAGATCTTAGTGCTGCATTTGACACCATTGACCATAATATTCTTTTACAGAGACTTGAGGATCAAATTGGCATTAAAGGAACCGCACTAAGCTGGTTTAAGTCATATTTATCAGATCGCTCGCAGTTTGTACATGTTAACGATGAATCTTCAATAAATACTACAGTTAGTCATGGAGTTCCACAAGGTTCTGTACTTGGACCAATACTATTTACTTTATATATGCTCCCTTTAGGCAACATTATTAGGAATCACTCCATTAACTTTCACTGTTATGCAGATGATACGCAGTTATATCTATCAATCAAGCCCAATGAAATTAATCAATTATCTAAATTACAAACATGTCTTAAGGACATAAAATCCTGGATGACCTGCAATTTTCTGATGTTAAACTCAGAAAAAAACGAAATTCTTGTTCTTGGCCCCAAAAACCTTAGAGACTCACTGTCCAAAGATATAGTTACTCTAGATGGCATTAACTTAGCCTCTAGTACCACTGTCAGGAATCTTGGAGTTATCTTTGATCAAGATTTGTCATTTAACTCCCACATAAAGCAGACTTCTAGGACTGCCTTCTTTCATTTACGTAATATTAGAAAAATTAGACACATCCTATCACAGACAGATGCAGAAAAACTAATCCATTACTCGATTACTGCAACTCTTTATTATCAGGTTGCCCCAATAAGTCCATTAAAACGCTCCAATTAATTCAGAACGCTGCAGCACGAGTACTAACAGGAACTAGAAAAAGAGATCACATCTCTCCTGTACTAGCTTCTCTGCACTGGCTCCCTGTAAAATGTAGAATAGAATTTAAAATCCTCCTCCTCACCTATAAAGCTCTTCATGGTCAGGCCCCTTCATATCTTAAAGAGCTCATAGTACCCTATTACCCCTCTAGAACACTACGTTCTCTGAATGCTGGGCTACTTGTGGTTCCTATAGTCTCTAAAAGTAGAACAGGAGCCAGAGCCTTCAGTTACCAAGCTCCTCTCCTGTGGAACCAGCTTCCAGTTGTGGTTCGGGAGGCAGACACCCTCACCACATTCAAGAGTAGGCTTAAGACATTCCTCTTTGATAAAGCTTATAGTTAGGGCTGGATCAGGTGAGTCCTGAACCATCCCTTAGTTATACTGCTATAGGCCTAGACTATCGGGGGATTTCCCATGGTGCACTGAGCTCCTCTCTTCCTCTCTCTTTCTGCACTAATTCATGTCCCATTAATGCATGTTACTAACTCCACTTCTTCCCCGGAGTTCTTGTGCTTTCTCGTCTCGCAGGTTCTTATCGATCCTGGTGGAGCCTCCTGCCATGGTCCTGCTAGATTGCCATTGCCAATACTGTTGTTGCTGTGCACCTGTCTGTCTGTCAGTCATTGTTGGGTTATTTAATAAAAATGTTCCGTCGATACTGAATTAGTTCATCCAATTTAAACTGAAGTTTATATTAGATTAGATTCAACTTTATTGTCATTGCACAAGTACTAGACAACAAAATGCCCTTTAATGATCTCAATCATATCAAACAAATCAAACAGATCATAAAACAACAAAAACAGTCAAATGTAAATGTTAACTTCACCCACTGTGATCCTGGATTTGTTGTACGCCATTTTACAGATCTGATCCTCCAGTTTACGTTTCTGATGCTGGAACTCTGTCATCAGACAGGAAATGTCCTCCTGAGAGAGAGACAGACAGATAAAGGTGAATAATTAATCCAGGACTAATCATTACCCTGTAACGGGTCCACTCAAAGAAAGGAACTTAATGTCGATATTACAGAACAAGCTTTCAAGTTTTATAGGCATGAATAACTCCTTATAACAGCCCTGGTACCCAATACTTCCACAGTACTGCCTGCAAGATGGCCCTGAGGACCAGGGTGAAAGATTAAAGTTCTAGCTGGTGCTACTAAACCTTCCTCACTTCATGTTGTTCTCCTCTCGCCCCCAGCTTCATATATCCCTGAACACACTCATTCAGGTTTTTTGAAACCTGTGGAAAGAAACATCATGTGTAGCTGATTTAAAGTGCCTCTCAAGAATTTGTTGTTGAATGTTGTTGACAAAACTTTCAAAATTATAATAGTCTGTTTTGAAAACATTTATCTGCTGTTAGCATCAGTTCTATCGGAGAGTATTTCTTCACTGAAAGAAGAGCAAAAAACGCCACTGAAGGTTTTTCTCTCTTCTCCCAGCTGATATTATTAGAATATCGCTCAATTTGGCTAGATAATCTTAAAACATATGGAATGGCCCTCCGTAATGCCAGAGGAGCCTATTATTCAGCACTAATAGAAGAAAATAAGAACAACCCTAGGTTCCTCTTCAGCACTGTAGCCAGGCTGACAGAGAGTCACAGCTCTATTGAGCCACATATCCCCATAACCTTAAGTAGCAACGACTTTATGAGCTTCTTTTATGATAAAATTATTACTATTAGAGAAAAAATTAATAACCAAATGCCCTCAACAGGTATCACTGTCTAATTCAGGAACTTTACTTGTCTTAAGGACATAAAATCCTGGATAAGCTGCAATTTTTTTATGTTAAACTCAGAAAAAGACAAAATTCTTGTACTTGGCCCCAAAAACCATTGAATGAGGTGAGGTAATCACTAGAGTATTTTTGTGTGTCTGTCCTTTTGCAAACCTTTTTGATAAACGACTTCTCACATGGTTCTGATTGGTGTAATCAGATTAGAGGGTGAGCCCAAACAGTTTGAAGTTATGCCCAACTGGGCCTCATGGGTCCTTTAAACCATCACAGATTAAGCTCTTGTTGTTTGAAACTGATGATCCCACAGTGATAAAGAACAAACAGCCGCAGACATTTTCTTCACCAAACTGTTTGAAGGTCCTACCTAAAATGGTGACCAGAGGGCAGGCGATGGTGAAGGTCACAACAGTAACAGTGTGCAGTGTGTATTATTACATGGTCATGAAAATTACATCACTCTGATAAAGAAAAGATAACTGAAAACAAATTTGATGAGTAAAGTTATCGGACAAGAGAGTATGAAACGTATTATTATTTTTGATGGACTTGAACGTTCTTGAACAACATGACCACGTGACCTTATTGTTGATAAACTGGAAACTTAAAGGTGATATTAGGGTTGTGTGGAACATTAAACTCTTGGTTGGTGATACGATGTCAGTTTATATGGGTGCTTATCTACACTTAGTCAACAACACTTGACACACAGGTGTTTGTTTCCTACCTTCATGTGGCTGTAGACAGAGCTCACAGGTGTTTGTTTCCTACCTTCATGTGGCTGTACACTGAGCTCACAGGTGTGATTTTGTGTCCACGGTGAGCACCAATACTTCCACAAAGGCCACAGATCACCATTCGTTCATCCTCGCAGTAAAGGCTGAGCGGGTTGTGATGCTGAGGACACGACTCCGGCTGAGCTTCTCCTGAAACACTCACTTCCTGTCAGGAGGAATATTTTAATTATTAAAACTTCAGTCAGATGATCTGAACTGTTCGACAGGTAAACTGATTACAGGTATTTTTACCTGCAGAGCCTCAATGATTCGAGCCAAACTGACGTTGGGAGGAGGACTGTCTCCGTCTACAGCACAGCGGCACACAGGACACTGTAGCTGACCCAGCAGGTCCATCGTCATAGAGTGCACACAACACCTGGACAGGTAGGGACAGGTGAGCACATTATTATTAGAGTATGGTTGAGACCTGCTCTATTTGAAAAGTGTCCTGAGATTCGGTTATGAATTGGTGCTATACAAATAAAATTTAATTGCATTGACAGGTGAGGAGAGGTGAGGACAGGACAGGACAGGACAGGTGTGTCTCATCCTTCTGTCATACTTGCAGTAGGAGTGTCCACACTGTAACATCAGTGGTTCAGTGAAGACGTCCAGACAGACAGGACACCTGAGCTGCTCCTCCAGACTCTGACGACGCTCCATGTCCTAGGTAACCAGGACCAGAACCACCAGGACCAGAACCACCAGGACCGGGCCACCAAGATCAGCACCACTGGAACCAGTAAATCAAAAAAAAGCATCAATATTAAAAAATAGAAGAAAGATCTTCCAAAGATCAAACGGTCGGTCTGTTAGTCCGCTTTCCTGCAGCAGAGCGATTCTGTTTATATCTGTTTATCTTTGTTTATCTTTGATGTGATTGGACAAACTGAGTGGGCGGAGTAAGCTTATAGCACCTTTATTTTTTAATGTGGTGAAATTATCTAAAAAAATAGTTATATATATTATTAGTAGTTATAATATAAAGTTATTAGTATTATTAGTAGTTATAATATACAGTTATTAGTATTAGTAGTAGTTATAATATAAAGTTATTAGTATTAGTAGTAGTTATAATATAAAGTTATTAGTATTAGTAGTAGTTATAATATAAAGTTATTAGTATTAGTTGTAGTTATAATATACAGTTATTAGTATTATTAGTAGTTATAATATACAGATATTAGTGTTATTATGAGTCACAGTGTAATGTTTTGGAGTGTTTATACAGGGTTAGGGTTAGGTTGTTTGTGTTCCTGAGTTTCTGATAAAGTTTGTTTTACTGACATGTGAAAGTCACCTTCACGCCTCCATGGTAACAGAGACATACACAGGTAAAAGTCTCCTTCATGCTCTGACCAGTCCACACTGATGTATTGATATATTGGAATTATATGTATATATATAAAATTAGATATTTGAATATTTATCACTATGTTATTATTATTATATCATTCAGTTTGCCGGTGTAGTTTTTTTTTGTTGAAGTTATTCTTTTGGCCTTTTGATGGCTTTATTTATAGAGACAGGAAAGGTGGGTGGAGAGAGAGGGGATGACACGCAGCAAAGGGCCGCAGGTCGGATCCGAACCCGGGCCGCTGCAGCAACTCCGTATATGGGTCGCCAGCTGAGCTCTACCGACTGAGCTAACTGGGCGCCCCGGCCGGGTCTAGTTTTAAGCTGAAGCGACGCAGTTTGAACAGCAGGTGGCGCTGGCCTATGAATGACGTCATCCAAGGGTGTCAGGTGACAAAACAGGAAGAGGGAGACGACACTTCCTGGACCTCCCGGGACCAACCGCGGATTAAAAACGAGTCCACAGCAGAATTTAATTTGAAAGAATCAGCGCGAAGGAAGGTAAGAGCAGATAAAAACACAGAAGCTAACAGGCTAACAGACTGCTAACGTGCTGATACTTGTCTGTGTGTAAATAAACACAGAGCAAGATGGAGGTCGGCAGGAAACATCCGTGTCCGACATTCATCTGATTGACTATTAAACTGGCAGAAAAATGAATGGAGTCTGGTACAGAGAGTCTGTATAATTGTACCACAAAGAACCGAAGTCAGGGCAGATTTAATTCTGTTAGCGTTTAATTCAGCAGTCATTGATCTACAACTATAGAGGTAAAACTGGCAGAAAAATGAATGGAGTCTGGTGTGAACAGATTAACTTCTGCTGCATTAATATCATCAGAGACACACATTGTTAATGTCATAATGTATTGATCACTTGATTTATTACTGTCAGTATAGATCATATATAGGGAATGTATTGATCACTTGATTTATTACTGTCAGTATAGATCATATATAGGGAATGTATTGATCACTTGATTTATTACTGTCAGTATAGATCATATATAGGGAATGTATTGATCACTTGATTTATTACTGTCAGTATAGATCATATATAGGGAATGTATTGATCACTTGATTTATTACTGTCAGTATAGATCATATATAGGGAATGTATCGATTATTGATTTATTACTGTCAGTATAGATTATATATAGGGAATGTATTGATCACTTGATTTATTACTGTCAGTATAGATTATATATAGGGAATGTATTGATCACTTGATTTATTACTGTCAGTATAGATTATATATAGGTGATTGATTATTGATTTATTACTGTCAGTATAGATTATATATAGTGAATGTATTGATCACTTGATTTATTACTGTCAGTATAGATTATATATAGGGAATGTATTGATCACTTGATTTATTACTGTCAGTATAGATTATATATAGGGAATGTATTGATTTATTACTGTCAGTATAGATTATATATAGTGAATGTATTGATTATTGATTTATTACTGTCAGTATAGATTATATATAGGGAATGTATTGATTATTGATTTATTACTGTCAGTATAGATTGTATATAGGGAATATATTTATTATTGATTTATTACTGTCAGTATAGATCATATATAGGGAATGTATTGATTCTTGATTTATTACTGTCAGTATAGATTATATATAGGGAATGTATTGATTATTGATTTATTACTGTCAGTATAGATTATATATAGGGAATGTATTGATTATTGATTTATTACTGTCAGTATAGATTATATATAGGGAATGTATTGATTATTGATTTATTACTGTCAGTATAGATTATATATAGGGAATGTATTGATTATTGATTTATTACTGTCAATATAGATCATATATATCCAATCCAATCCAACTTTATTTGTTAAGCACTTTAAAACAACCAAAGTTGACCAAAGTGCTGTACAGGAGAATAAATAAGACATCATAAATAAAAGACATAACAGCTCACATGAGGCGCAAAATAACATATAATACAACAATAAAATGAAAAGACATAAATAAAAATAATAACCATGCAATAACAAGCAATCAAAAAGTAAAAATAACAAATACAAAAAATAAATCAAGTAAATAAAGTCGACATCTTACTAGGTGTCAAAGGCCACAGAGAAGAGATGGGTTTTAAGACCGGTTTTAAAAACAGACAGAGAAGAGGCCTGTTTAACGTGCAGAGGCAGATCATTCCATAATTTAGGAGCAGACACAGCAAAGGCACGGTCCCCTCTGAGCTTCCGCTTAGTTTTAGGCACACTCAGGAGCAGCTGATCATCTGACCTGAGGGGGCGGACGGGTATATAGGGGTGTAGAAGCTCAGATAGGTAGGGCGGGGCAAGACCATTTAGGGATTTAAAAGCAAATAAAAGAATTTTAAAATGGATCCTAAATTGAATTGGCAGCCAGTGGAGTGAGGCTAAAATGGGGGAAATGTGCTCATGTTTACATGTGCCAGTTAAAAGACGTGCAGCAGCATTCTGTACCATCTGAAGACGGGCGATGGAGGACCCACTAACCCCCACATATAGTGCATTACAGTAATCCAGCCGAGTGGTAACAAAGGCGTGGATTACCGTCTCAAAGTGCTGCCTTGATAGAATTGGCTTTATATAGGGAATGTATTGATCACTTAATTTATTACTGTCAGTACAGATTATATATAGGGAATGTATTGATTATTGATTTATTACTGTCAGTATAGATTATATATAGGAAATGTATTGATCACTTGATTTATTACTGTCAGTATAGATTGTATATAGGGAATATATTTATTCTTGATTTATTACTGTCAGTATAGATTATATATAGGGAATGTATTGATTATTGATTTATTACTGTCAGTATAGATCATATATAGGGAATGTACTGATTATTGATTTATTACTGTCAGTATAGATTATATATAGGGAATGTATTGATTATTGATTTATTACTGTCAGTATAGATTATTGATTTATCACTGTCAGTATAGATTATATATAGGGAATGTATTGATTTATTACTGTCAGTATAGATTATATATAGGGAATGTATTGATTAATTACTGTCAGTATAGATTATATATAGGGAATGTATTGATTATTGATTTATTACTGTCAGTATAGATTATATATAGGGAATGTATTGATTATTGATTTATTACTGTCAGTATAGATTATTGATTTATCACTGTCAGTATAGATTATATATAGGGAATGTATTGATTTATTACTGTCAGTATAGATTATATATAGGGAATGTATTGATTATTGATTTATTACTGTCTGTATAGATCATATATAGGGAATGTATTGATTTATTACTGTCAGTATAGATCTTATATACTGATTGATTATTGATTGTTTCTTTCAGTATGGAGGATGATGAACTTCCGTCAGAGGATGGGATGGGTGGGCGTGGCTCTCTACCTGTTGCTCAGCGTCGTGGTGGCATACTATGTCTTTGAGGTTCACAGCTTCAGTTTGGAGCATGTGCAGAGAAGCAGGGCCAACCCCTCGGCTCCGCCCCTTGCCATCAGCTGGTCTCAGAGCATCAGTGCTCGTCTGCCGCCACTTCCAGTCTGGATGTGGGTGTCAGTCTTCCTGCTGCCGTACCTGCAGCTCTTCCTCTTCCTGTTCTCCTGTACGCGAGCGGACCCTCGCGCAGTTGGTTACTGCGTCCTTCCCGTCTGCCTCGCCCTGCTCTGCAGCCGCCGCCAAGCCACCCACAAACCAGCCAATCAGAGAGGCCCGCCGCTCATTGACACATAGTAGGGCGGGGCCATGGCGAGAGGATGAGGCTGTGAAACTGTTTGTGTTGCTGTTTGTGATGTCACTTCCTGTGTGCCTTTAGACAGTTTAACAAACACTGCCCTGAGCGTCGCCTGTCAGGACTCGTCGGTTGTCTGTCACAGAGAATCCTGTGCTGTGATTGGCCGGACAGTGTTCCTCTGCTGTGTGTCTGTGAAGCATCACTACTGTTGCTATGGTTACCTGCAGTTCAGTATTAAGACAGGAAGGTAAACTACTGACCTGACAGCTGCCAGCCAATCAAAACACTTTGCTGCATATAATAAGATGTTTCACATGACACACGCTGGTTACCATGACAACTTCATTACACCATCAATAAAATGAAAATTAAACAAAGACAAAGAAATTGATTTTATTTTGTTGTAAAAACGTAAAAATGTAATTTAAAGGAGGGAGACTGAAGGAGGAAGAGGAGATATATAAATATTAACAACAAGGAAAGAAGGTATCAAAGAGAACTGCTGCTAAAATACTGTAGTATTATTACAATATTAGTGTGGTGTTATTGTAGTATTATTAGTGTTATTTCAGTATTATTGTAGTATTATTAGTGTTATTGTAGTATTATTAGTGTTTCAGTATTATTGTAGTATTATCAGTATTATTGTAGTATTATTAGTGTTATTGTAGTATTATTAGTGTTATTTCAGTATTATTGTAGTATTATTAGTGTTATTTCAGTATTATTGTAGTATTATCAGTATTATTGTAGTATTATTAGTGTTATTGTAGTATTATTAGTGTTATTTCAGTATTATTGTAGTATTAGTGTTATTGTAGTATTATAAGTGTTATTGAAGTATTATTAGTGTTATTTCAGTATTATTGTAGTATCAGTATTATTGTAGTATAATTAGTGTTATTGTAGTATTATTAGTGTTATTTCAGTATTATTGTAATATTATTAGTATTATTAGTGTTATTTCAGTATTATTGTAATATTATTAGTATTGTAGTATTATTAGTGTTATTTCAGTATTATTGTAATATTATTAGTATTATTGTAGTATTATTAGTGTTATTGTAGTATTATTAGTATTATTGTAGTATTATTAGTGTTATTGTAGTATTATCAGTATTATTGTAGTATTATTAGTGTTACTGTAGTATTATCAGTATTATTAGTGTTATTGTAGTATTATTAGTGTTATTTCAGTATTATTGTAGTATCAGTATTATTGTAGTATTATTAGTGTTATTTCAGTATTATTGTAGTATCGGTATTATTGTAGTATTATTAGTGTTATTGTAGTATTATTAGTGTTATTGTAGTATTATTGTAGTATTATCAGTATTATTGTAGTATTATTAGTGTTATTTCAGTATTATTGTAGTATCAGTATTATTGTAGTATTATTAGTGTTATTGTAGTATTATTAGTGTTATTTCAGTATTATTGTAGTATCAGTATTATTGTAGTATTATCAGTATTATTGTAGTATTATTAGTGTTATTTCAGTATTATTGTAGTATCAGTATTATTGTAGTATTATTAGTGTTATTGTAGTATTATTAGTCTTATTTCAGTATTATTGTAGTATCAGTATTATTGTAATATTATTAGTATTATTGTAGTATTATCAGTATTATTGTAGTATTATTAGTGTTATTGTAGTATTATTAGTGTAATGGTAGTATTATTAGTGTTATTTCAGTATTATTGTAGTATCAGTATTATTGTAATATTATTAGTATTATTGTAGTATTATCAGTATTATTGTAGTATCAGTATTATTGTAGTATTATTAGTGTTATTGTAGTATTATTAGTGTTATTGTAGTATTATTAGTGTTATTTCAGTATTATTAGTGTTATTTCAGTATTATTGTAGTATTATTAGTGTTATTGTAGTATTATTAGTCTTATTTCAGTATTATTGTAGTATCAGTATTATTGTAATATCAGTATTATTGTAGTATTATTAGTGTTATTGTAGTATTATTAGTGTTATTGTAGGTTTATTAGTGTTATTGTAGGTTTATTAGTGTTATTTCAGTATTATTGTAGTATCAGTATTATTGTAGTATTATTAGTGTTATTTCAGTATTATTGTAGTATCAGTATTATTGTAGTATTAGTGTTATTGTAGTATTATTAGTGTTATTTCAGTATTATTGTAATATTATCAGTATTATTGTAATATCAGTATTATTGTAGTATCAGTATTATTGTAATATCATTAGTATTATTGTAGTATTATCAGTATTATTGTAGTATTATTAGTGTTATTGTAGTATGATTAGTATTATTGTAGTATTATCAGTATTATTGTAGTATTATTAGTGTTATTGTAGTATTATTAGTGTTATTGTAGTATTATTAGTGTTATTGTAGTATTATTAGTGTTATTTCAGTATTATTGTAGTATCAGTATTATTGTAGTATTATTAGTGTTATTGTAGTATTATTAGTGTTATTTCAGTATTATTGTAGTATCAGTATTATTGTAGTATTATTAATTCAATTCAATTCAATTCAATTTTATTTGTATAGCGCCAATTCATAACAGAAGTTATCTCAGGACACTTTTCAAATAGAGCAGGTCTAGACCGAACTCTTTAACATTAATTACAGAGACCCAACAGTACCACCATGAGCAAGCACTTGGCGACAAGGGCAAGGAAAAACTGCCTGTTAAAAGGCAGAAACCTAGGACAGATCCTCCGGCTCTAGGTGGGTGGTCGTCTGTCTCGACCAGTTGGGGTGAGAGAGAGAGAGAGAGAGAGAGAGAGAGAGAGAGAGAGAGCGACAGACAGACAGACAGACAGACAGGTGCACAGCAACAACAGACATACAGTACTACACACAGTACTACACAAAGTACTACATACAGTACTACACACAGTACTACACACAGTACTACATACAGTACTACAGACAGTACTACACACAGTACTACATCCAGTACTACACACAGTACTACACACAGTACTACACACAGTACTACATACAGTACTACACACAGTACTACATCCAGTACTACACACAGTACTACACACAGTACTACACACAGTACTACACACAGTTCACACACAGTACTACACACAGTACTACACACAGTACTACACACAGTACTACATACAGTACTACACACAGTACTACACACAGTACTTCTTACAGTACTACACACAGTACTACATACTACTACCACCTACACACAGTACTACACACAGTACTACACAAAGTACTACACAAAGTACTACATAAAGTCCTACATACAGTACTACCGATCGATAAGAACCTGCGAGACGAGAAAGCACAAGAACTCCGGGGAAGAAGTGAAGTTAGTAACATGCATTAATGGAACATGAATGAGTGCAGAAAGAGAGAGGAAGGGAGGAGCTCAGTGCACCATGGGAAATCCCCCGATAGTCTAGGCCTATAGCAGCATAACTAAGGGATGGTTCAGGACTCACCTGATCCAGCCCTAACTATAAGCTTTATCAAAGAGGAATGTCTTAAGCCTACTCTTGAATGTGGTGAGGGTGTCTGCCTCCCGAACCACAACTGGAAGCTGGTTCCACAGGAGAGGAGCTTGGTAACTGAAGGCTCTGGCTCCTGTTCTACTTTTAGAGACTATAGGAACCACAAGTAGCCCAGCATTCAGAGAACGTAGTGTTCCAGTGGGGTAATAGGGTACTATGAGCTCTTTAAGATATGAAGGGGCCTGACCATGAAGAGCTTTATAGGTGAGGAGGAGGATTTTAAATTCAATTCTACATTTTATAGGGAGCCAATGCAGAGTAGCTAGTACAGGAGAGATGTGATCTCTTTTTCTAGTTCCTGTCAGTACTCGTGCTGCAGCGTTCTGAATTAATTGGAGCGTTTTAATGGACTTATTGGGGCAACCTGATAATAAAGAGTTGCAGTAATCCAGCCTTGAAGTAACAAATGCATGGATTAGTTTTTCTGCATCTGTCTGTGATAGTATGTGTCTAATTTTTCTAATATTACGTAAATGAAAGAAGGCAGTCCTAGAGGTCTGCTTTATGTGGGAGTTAAATGACAAATCCTGATCAAAGATAACTCCAAGATTCCTGACAGTGGTGCTAGAGGCCAAGTTAATGCCATCTAGAGTGACTATATCTTTAGACAATGAGTCTCTAAGGTTTTTGGGGCCAAGAACAAGAATTTCGTTTTTTTCTGAGTTTAACATCAGAAAATTGCAGGTCATCCAGGATTTTATGTCCTTAAGACATGTTTGTAATTTAGATAATTGATTAATTTCATTGGGTTTGATTGATAGATATAACTGCGTATCATCTGCATAACAGTGAAAGTTAATGGAGTGATTCCTAATAATGTTGCCTAAAGGGAGCATATATAAAGTAAATAGTATTGGTCCAAGTACAGAACCTTGTGGAACTCCATGACTAACTTTAGTATTTATGGAGGATTCATCGTTAACATGTACAAACTGAGAACAATCTGATAAGTATGACTTAAACCAGGTTAGGGCAGTTCCTTTAATGCCAATTTGATGCTCAAGTCTCTGTAAAAGAATATCATGGTCAATGGTGTCAAATGCAGCACTAAGATCTAATAATACAAGTACAGAGACAAGTCCATTGTCAGAAGCAGTCAGAAGGTCATTATTAACTTTAACCAGAGCTGTCTCTGTGCTATGATGAACTCTAAATCCTGACTGAAAATCCTCAAATAAACTATTGTTATGTAGAAAGTCACACAACTCTTTAGCGACTACTTTCTCCAGAATCTTAGAGAGGAAGGGGAGGTTAGAAATCGGTCTATAGTTGGCTAAAACCCCTGGGTCAAGAGTGGACTTTTTAAGAATGGGTTTAATTACAGCTACTTTAAAGGACTGTGGTACATATCCTGATAATAAAGAAAGATTAATCATATCCAGTAAAGAAGTGCCAATTAAGGGAACAACTTCTTTAAGCAGCCTAGTTGGGATCGGGTCTAATAGACAGGTTGATGGCTTCGATGAAGAAATG